ATTAAAATAAATATTATTATATTTTTAATTAATTTTTATTATATTTTTAAAATTATTAATAATTTATATAATTATTAAGCCGCGCGGGGGGTTACGGGTGCGAGGCACGTGCGAAGCACGTGCCGAGCGCCCGTGACTTTTCGCGCGGCGAGGTTAAACGGCTATTACGGCTTTACGGGATTTAACCAATCAAGTTAATTGCTTGGCTTAGTTTATAAGATAAAACCTTATCAGTAAACTTAAGGATTATGCCGCCCCTCGGGGAGGCCTTTAATGTAAGTAAAAGGGAACTTATTAAACTAGGTATAATACTATTTATATATATATATATTAACGGTTTTAACAAGTTAAATAATTATTTAACTTAATTTAATTTAACTTAATTTAACTTAATTAAATACGTATTTTTAACATATTTAAATAAGTTAAATTTTTAATTTTTTTATTTAATTAATTATTTAAATATATTTTATATATTTAAGTTTATTTATATACATATTTACGTAATATAATTAATAATTAAAAAAATAATTTTTATTAAATTAAAATAAATGGTTTTTTATGGTTTAATGTAATTTAATATAATTAATATAATTAAATAAATAAAATTTATAACTTATATTTTTTAAAAATAAAACGCTATTGGATTAATATTATTCCGGCTTCGAGATTTAAACTAATCCGTAAATATTATTAAGTAAATAATAAAAGTTAATTATTTAACTTAACTTAAAGGCGGCCAAGCTTTTAGTAAAAGCTTACTTGATTTAACTTGTTAAGACCGCTGATGTATGTACCCGATATAAGACCTCGGAGTCGGTCGGTTGAGGCAAGGTACCTAACCCACACACTTACCGGGGCAGCTTAGCCCCAGAAAAGCGGCTAGAATCACGGTTGCACAACGGGGGATTCCTTGGCATTTACGCATATTAAGAACCAATAGGATTTATTCCTTTAGATTAATTGGCAAAGCCACGATAATATTGTTAAGGAACATAGGTAAGCCACGAAACCCCCTATCTAGATCTTCAACGCCAAGGTACGACTTGAGCCTCCTTTCTCATTGTGTAAGGCTGAATGTCTAATGGCACTTGCTTCCATCACGGAGGTATTAACATAACCCTGTTTCCCCTTCTCTACAAAGAGGTTTTAAGAATGGTGTAGAAATTCTCGTGGTCTGAACCCGATAACGACTGCCTTTCACTACTTGCCTTAGATAAACACGCGACTTCACGCGTCGCGACTTCAGCAACAATGCAACAGATTCTACAGATACCCTTAGGATACAAGTCCTCTGCACCTCTGAGAACTCATTACAGGGATATGTTACCATTGCCAAATATTACCAAAGAGTAGATACCAAGATTTCTCTATCATTGGAGAATTATTGTCTATCATTCATATAGATTTCCAATAGGTTTTCATCAAGGCCAACTGCAACTACCTAATGAACTTTAATATCAAAATAGGCGTGGTCCATAAATGACCAAGCAACGTCGCTTCCTGAAACTGTGAGCAATCATGCAAAGATCCAAAAACCAGGGTTTGCAGCTAAGCTTTCTTCATACATGGGGGGGATAGATATTTGGCATCTTAGGTAGTCACTCCCAAAGCATGGTTACAAAAAGGATCAGCTTGCCAACATGGCCATATCCAGTGCCAAAGCAGGAGTTTGTAAGTGGTGCAAGCATGTATGTAAGAACTCAGAGTCACACTATCACAGCCATATGGTCCTACATATAAAGACCCCTAATGCACCCTCTGACATGACATGACAAGATCATCTACCAAATCACTTATACGCTACATATATATATGGTTGTTAATTCAATATATATTCCATGGCTGTATTGTATCACTTGCAAGTTTCAAGTTATATCTAATGAAGCTAGAATCATTGGTAAATCCAATGTCCAATGGCACAACTATCTTCTTGGGGGCGATAAGAATTCGCACTTACCTATTTCAAAATGATGTAGTTCGTTATTCCCATAGAAGATACCTAAATTACCTATCTTGGGCAAGCGGGAGTGTTTATTACAGGGCCGTAGTACGTTCCTTCCTTAGACCGGTCGACGTTGCCCTAGATGTAGTTCTCTCCCCTACCAATTCCTCAATAGGGTCTGCTTCGCTAATCGTAAACACAAACCATCCACCAACATCCACCACCTTCAATCAAAAATTCATCAATATTCAGTTCGTTCTTCTCGTTATTCCATCCAAATCGTGTATTCAAAATCATTCTACAGTCTTGACTACAGTCTACCATCCAGTCTAAGTGGTCATCATTCATTCTCGCGTTACTATTCTCCCCCTTTCAAGTCAATCCATCTCGAACCCTTGTGACCGCGTCGCCTAATCCCCTGCATGCTAAACATCCTCTGCCTACGACAAAGGTATATCATCTTTCGTGCAGTACAGGCCGTTAATTCTCACAGCGGGCAGTCCTACACTTCTCTCTTCTATTCTACCTTCGCTGCTGCCAATCCAGCAATACCAGTGTCACAACATAGATGATAGGACATCTTTCAGTCATCTTCGGTACCCTACCAACTACAGCAACACTCCATGTGCCAACCCTACACTATCTAGGAGCGGCACTCCTTCTTCAGTGTTATCCAGGAGTTGAAGTAGGACTTTGTGGCCTCTATCTTGCAAAACTTAGTAAGTCTCTGACCTAGTATTTCCACTTCTATGCCCCCATCCATCCTTTTCTTCCCACTTGACACATGTTCTATGAGCAGACTACTTCTCTACATCCTTCATGGAGACAGCATCATTCCCAGCCCTGTCAATACCCAGTGGCACCTTGTCGCATTCAGGAGACAAGAGTGATCAATAGTCCTTCGACCCAACGTGCTTCCTACTACACGATTATTACATTGTTTACAAACTCATAGCTCAATCCATCCCCTCGCACACCATTGACCCCTTTGCAACATTTATACATTCTGCATTATCTATCGTGCTATCCTCTCTTCCCTTATAAACATTACAACTTCACATGCCTAACAAGCCATATACTGGCGCTGCTGAACAATAATACCTTCATAATGATACACTTATTGCTCATCAACCTTATACATCCTGAATAGACCGACCGTTATATACACCTACCCATGCCTTGATCGTGCCATTATCTACCTAATATCTCAAGTCGTGGATTAATTCTAATTAAGTACTCTCTAGCTCACCGAGGCAGTCTTCGAGACTTACTACTAGCGTTCCTAAGAGACATAAGGTACTAGAAGCCTTTAGTATAGTCTTCCAGCGGCCTATTGTATAGTGTATTGAGAAAAGACCGCCCGATTCTTCGACAATAGTATAGCATAAGCTATACCATTTACTATGGAGAAGCTCATCGCCGACGCTATACCTAATCCTGGTCATATCTCTGTCGCCGACGCTATACCAGTCGCCGACGCTATACCAGTCGCCGACGCTATACCAGTCGACAATGCTATATGTATTGCCGAATATAGCCCGGTGAAGCTTCCCGTCAAGCGAAAGCATAGAGAAGTAGAAGAAGACGAGGACCTGTCCGACGTCTTCCAGATCCCCAAGTCCCCTGAAGTTGAGTCCGGCCGAGTGGCCCGAAGTCGAGCAAAATCTGCCAAGAGAAAAACTGCTTCCAAAACTGTCACCCATGCACCTATCGATCCTGCTGATATTCATGCGAACAAGCCAGAACCACATGGCCAGCCATTGGCCTGGGCTGACAAGAGAGCAGCCTTGAATGATGCACTGCCATATTTCAGAGCACATCAAGGCAGCGTGCATTCAGCGGAGTTAATGCCTAAAGGCATGCTTATAGATGGGATCGTAGGGATGCGTGACCATTTTTCTAGTCAGGTTATAATTACTTCGATGTAAGTTCCATACAATTCACTATAATGGAAATAAACTAACATAAACATAGTGGTGGTGGCCGCGTTCATGATCCAGTTACCAAGCAGAGGGTCAGAATCGAAGATCAAAGGGAAGACGGTAAGAATTACAAGGCTTTGATGAAGGCGTGGGAAGCGAACCACCCCTTCGTGATGATAGCCGGTAAGTCCTATACACGTATTACCCTTGTTTAAAGATATATTCTCATAAGGTTTAGGAGCGCACAACAATATGTTCCCGGTCAAACCTCCTCATCACTATAATGTTCTCGACTACTTCTACATCACAGAGATCTGGCAAGAAAAGACCAGGGAACCACAGGGACAAACAGTGACGATCTATATGGTCCGCTTGGAAAAGGTCAACTTAGATAGCAGATCTTGGTGGGCTCCAAAAGGTGTTAGTGCTCCCGAAGCGGGTGAATTTGGGATCGGCGAATACTCCTGCACATCAAGTACTTGCACGACTTGCAAAAAACCAAGCAAGGAGATTTTTGAGCAAGGTTGGGCCTGCCTTAATAGCCTATGCAAAAAATTCTTTGAGTTCGCTACCTTATTGGACGTCAACGAGCTAAAATACAACAACGCCTTCTTACGAGAGAGAACCAAATACAGCGGTAATCCCCCCCCGGATGATCTCATTCCTGCACTACCCTCCGATCAAGAGAACACCCTTGGCAGTGAAAAGGAGTATAAACAAGGAATCCTTTGTCCTAAGTGTGGCTGCTGCAGCAGGAGAATAAAGTGGGATGGCTGGTATTGTGAGAATGCAGAATGCGATTTCACACATACGGTCCCCATCAAGATGACTCCGCTCAATCGTATCATGAAAGAGAACAAGGAGGTGAAGAGTAAAACGGGAGGCACTCGTATAACTAAATCTCCCAGTGGTGTTCCTGTTCACAAGACGACTATAGGAGGACAGAAACTCAAAACCTTTTTCCTCCCAGATGAGAATAGTAACGGTTACATTGGCACTGTCACCCGCATTAGGCCGACAAAAGAGGCCATTTCAAGAAAAGGTGGTATTGACGACCTATATTTACGTTTGCAAAAGGAGGACCTAAAGCTTGAGAGAAGACCAGCAAAGAATCCCGGTGAGTGGATGTGAAGTTCTGTTTAGGTGGACCAATGCTGATTACTGTAGGCTGTCGAGTCGAAGAGTTGACCTCTCACTTCTCTGGGAATTTCGTAAGCCCCTAGGTTTGACTGATTCGATGTATCATAACTAACACTCTTATAGGGTGCTCCGTACAAATTTGGAGTGGTTGTAAAAACCACAACTAGCTTCGAGGACGCACCAACTCCGATATTAGAGACTCTTCTTCGACTGACTTGGGGAGGAGAGGCAGCCGTTGAAGCCTCGAGAAATCTCATTCAGGACAAGGCCATCAAGGTCTCAGGAGATTCCATACCAGAAACATTCGACGCGTATAATGAGCAGCTAGTGCTTGGATACTTTGAAAAGTCAAAAATCAGTGTATGTATTTCTCCAAATTGGTCTTCCCATGTGGATACTAATGCGTATCCTAGGCCCACGACGACGGCGAGAAAGAACTTGGCCCAAATGTTGCATCACTCTCCCTTGGCTCTCCTTCGGTGATGAACTTTTCCCCAAAAAAAGGAAAGCGCATTGGGAACTTGACAGATTTAAGCAACAAGAAGAGAAGGCCGTTCCTATCGGTGAAGCTAAAGCATGGTGACATGCTGGTCATGCATGGGGAAGAAATCCAGAAACTATATCTCGTGCGTATTCGCAAAAGCTCCTGTTCCTGCTTAGTCCATTAACTGACTTCCTTGGATAGCATGCCGTCGAACCACGCGGAAAACATCGATTTGCTTTAACTTGTCGATACATCCGGCCAAATACCATTCCTAATGAAGAAGCGCGCGCCTTAGCTCTTACTGCTGGAAAGGTCCCTGATCGATGGACTGCCATTAGGTATAATGGAGAAGAAGACCAGTTCGAATCCCGTGTCACTGGAGAAGTTGTAGCTCGTCCTGGAACCATTGTTGAGAGTGCTGAGTCTACTAAAAACCCGGCACCATCTAAATACGCCATCTAAACGCACCAACGGCCTTGAGAGCGACGATATTTTCATGGCTTAGACTTTATCCCATACAAATTCAAAGGGCCAACTACTGGCCAAGCTTCACCAACTATCATCAGCAATTCTATATCGTTTCGCCTTGCTATAACATTCCTTGGGTCCTGCAATTAGTCAGGAACTGTTCGAAGATTATCGAATGTCACGAGCGGATTTCTTTTCGTTTCACTACTTAGAAATACGCTTCAAGTTTATTTATTCACCTACTCATTTTTCTTTTCCCTTTTACACTGGTTTTCCTCAGGTCATAGGAGACGTTTGATCATGTGGTGTGGGGGGAGATGGGTTAGTTATGTGATGCTGCAGTGATCTTCTTCAACGATCTCCGCATCAGCAACTGCGTTAACAACTTTATGCTTTATGTGTACTTGGCTGGGCTAATGCATATAGACACATCCCTATGATGTGCATGACGATATCGAGCTGAAGCAATTTGGAAGGAGCTTAGCAACAGATCGCCGAGAAAAAAAAAATAACTATATCTACCCGTTTGTCTGTTGATTGTTTGTGAATGTTCCTGTCATCATCTACACAGGAGAACGACACAAAGAATGACGACTCAATGTGCATACGTATTCGATGAGCAATGCTCATGGTCTTCTCGACAGACCAGAGCAAGCCTACGTCTTAAGACGTGTCTATATGTGTGACCCTCCAGGTCTCCTTTCTCTCCTTCGGCCTCATATCAAACATTTTTCGTCTTTTCATCTTTTCTACCGGCCCTTGGTCTTGCGCCTACGCTCCCACTCAGCACGCTCTTCCTCGTCACTGCCGGAGAACTCGGCATCATCATCTTCTTCTTCTTCCTGCCTAACATCAACAAACGAACTGGCCACCGCCTTCTTGTTCTCCTTGGGGGGTGCAGGCGTGGAGTCGACAAAGTCGCCCGCGTTCAACTCGGCATACTCGTGTTTCTGGATCAGGTCGCGCAGGCCGGTGTTAGAAGGGTCAACGAGTTGATATGGTGTTAGTCGGGCCTTGTTGCGAATTCGGGTGGACGATCCGGCCTCGAGCATCATTTGTACGAGGGCGTTGCCGAATTCGCGCTGGGCAGGGGGCTCGCTGTTGATCCAGCGGATGGCGCTGTGTAGGGGCGTGTCCCCTTCGATACGGTTCAGAGGGTCACATTCGAAATCTGGTTGGTCCAGAAGTGTGTCGATGATCTCGTCTGAGGTGGAGGTGTTAATACTGCGTGATGGATTTCTTATGTTTGTGTTTGGGGTTTGATTTATGTAATATGAGTGTGAGCAAGGTGGAGGACGTACAGTTTCCCTGTAGGGCAGCCTCGTGGTAGAGGTGATTGCCCATGACGGTTGTAGTAGTGTTGAGGAGAGTGGATATTTCTTCGTCCGACTTGCAGTTCGAGATTACGTCGTGGAGTAAATCGACATTGTTCCTTCGGCAGGCTTCGATCAGCCGCTCCTTTACGGAGGCGCCCTGTTGCAAATAATAAGTCAGTCGGCCTTTTAATCTCGGACTGTAGGACTGCTATCTAACCTCGTGTTCGTGATCATCTGCCATGCTAGGCTGCTCTACCAAGCTGTGCTATGCTAATGCTATGATATGATATGCTATGCTATGCGATCTGCTTCCGTTGTATTCCAGGGCAGATCAAACCCGTCAAGCAGAGGACGAAGAAGCCTGGTTGGCAGGAGAAGTATTCTTGCTATTTGTATTTCTTTTAGTTTCGGATTCAGGAGGAGAGTACCTAATACCTAAACAGCCAAATTAATAGGCAAGACCCAGTTAGGTTTTTTAATGGAACAGAGTGTGATGAAGATGAAGATGATGAAGAAGAGGAAAAGGAAGAAGCTAAGCCCAATTACATACGTAGGCAAGTCTTCAGGAACGAATAAGCCAACCAGCTTTGTTTCTAATAAGAACCTTTGGTGATTGTACGGCAGAGCGGCTAAGGGTCAAAGGGTATAATGTAAGCATGGAAGCTTGGAAGAGCAAGCGCCGTAATGTAAAGGAGGCTGTGACGTTTCCAAAGTCCCTTGAACTAGTAGTGTAAGGTTCTTGCCTGAAACCTACCCCACCACAGCCCACTAACCCACGCGTCTCTGGATATTGTACAATACCTAGGTACCTACCTAATATTGGACCTACCGCGGGGTGGTTCGGGGAATAGTTAGAGCGTATTCCGGCGGGACAAGTTCAACTAGAGGGTACCGAGGTACTTACATAGTATCATGTCCATATCTGCCGGAGCTCCACTAAAATTTAGAATTCATCTACTTTCTTAGCCATTTACTCTCTACTCACTCAATCTACTTACTCACTTACGCACTCATAAGTTCACTTAGATAGATATTTCATAAAAACCAGCATCGGATATAGATTTTATTTATTGAGCCACCGCCATGCTGCTCTGTATGTATTCCCAACCAATATACATACGTATAAACTAACGGCAACGACTAACTAACTCCATCCCCAGTCTGCCCCCAGTGCTCAAACATCCTGACGGTGTCCATGTCGGCCGAGGCCGGGCGCAACCGGCTCGAGTGCCGCACGTGCCCGTACCAGCACCTCATAGAAGAGAATATGTACTCGCGACGATATTTCAAGCGCAAGGAACGCGAAGACGTCTTCGGCGGCGCCGGGGCCTGGGACAACGCGGACAAGACCCCCGTCCAGTGCAACAACTCGTCTTGCAACGGCAAGGAGGCCGCCTTCTACCAGATCCAGATCCGCAGTGCCGACGAGCCTATGACTAGCTTCTTCAAGGTGAGTTTTTTCTTTCTTTGTCGCTATCTATCGTGGTTTTGCGTTTTTGGTACGATGGGGACGAGACGATGCTGATTTGCGATGTAGTGCATGACGTGCGGCCACAGGTGGAGGGAAAATTAGACGGTATTACCTATGTAGCAGGAGGGTTTGCATCGGTAACTCTACTGCTTGGCGTTTGGGAGGCTCCTAACGGCGTTACGAAGGGTTCTGGAGTTCTTGGTCTTGAGTTTTTAATGTAGATGGCCTAGTGTCGAGACGTCCGTCTGCTTTTACCTACGTCCTTTCTTTATATAATTGTAGTGATGTGATGAATTGTAAGGCGTATCCCCTTATTTTTATTCTTTGTGCCAATCCACAGCTGCTTTGGCTCCCTCGGCAGCCAGCGCGTAGACCAACTCGGGGCTGATAATGTCCTGTCGGAAGCGCTCTTCTTGGAGCAGCTCGAGGTGCTTCAGGGTCGGACCGGGATAGTTGAGGTACTTGATGTAGGGCGGGCGGGTCCAGTATCGGAGGTAGCTGAGGTATGCGACGAAGGCTGGTTCGTTCAAGAGCTTCTGGGATGCGAGATGGTTTAGGTAAAAGGGGTTCGCAAGGGATTGCACGAACTAGAGAGGAGTCCCGTCCCGTGTCAGCATAGCATTGGCACACCGTATAAGATATAAGGTGATGTGGAAGATGGGATCAGGGAATGCATGCGTACCTCAAGCTCGACCTCGAAGCGACTGAACCCGCCGTATTTCGGCTCGTTGTCCGCCGGGAGAGGAGGTGGGGATTGCTGCATTTCGACGTCCATTTTGGGTTGTCTTGGGCTTTCTACTGTCGCAATAATCGAATATGGAGATGTAATTGGTATGTTGGTAGGTATGTTGGGAAATAACGTGACGATTGATGTGTGGTAGAAGTAGAGGCTTGATAAGAATTGATGGATGATAAAGAGTTGGATGATAGAGAGATTGATAAAGCTTATCAAGGTCAAGCGGAGATGTCCCGCACCACCCACTATGTCATACCTACCTACTGTGGGTTAGGGGCAGGAGGGCCAATCGGAGGGTCAGCTTGGGGATTAAGAATATAAAAGCAGTTTACAAGCAAATTCTTCATCCAAGGAGCAATCCAATAAGCATCAGTGGTTTAGTGGTAAAATCCATCGTTGCCATCGATGGGCCCCGCGTTCGATTCGCGGCTGATGCATTTTCTTTTCTACTTTATTTTTTTGTTAACTATTCCTCTTGCCTTAGTGACCTTATCTTGGCCTGCCCGTTGTGTGGATGCTTCATAGTTCCGAATTATGGTTTTCTTGTTTTTTTTTTCTTCTTTAAGTGGTGCCCGGTGGATAAATCTGTACAACTACGATAGACCATTCGAAGCCTCAACTTCTACTATGTATGCTCTCCACAAGTTGAGTAGTTCTTCAATGTCATATATTCGGGAGAGCGGTATGGGCCCCGCTCCAGCTGGGATATTACCTAGCGCGCGCTCAATATTGGTCACCCCACCAAGCTCTGCTATTAAGACTGCTACTTGACTATATAGGCAAAACTACGACGACGACAAACGTATTGATCACTAGTGAGACGAGCGCAAAAGGCATGCATTATTACTTTACGAAATCCACTGCGGATTGGTGAACTAGTGTACGTTACCCGGGTGCAAAAAAAAGAAATAAATAAAAAAATGATCGAACCCAGGCTCGAACTGGGGACCTTCAGTGTGTTAGACTGACGTGATAACCAACTACACCATCCGACCTTTGAAGAGATGGAAAATCTGATTTCTCCATCACGTGATGGTAGTTAGGATGTCTACTTTTGTATATATGCACTTACAATTTGCACTAGGTAAAGTCCACTTAACTACATAGAGACCTGGCACTAGATATTTTAAGAATTGTGAAGCGTAAAGCACTAATTACCTCTTGGAATGTGTTTAATTTCAACGAGGGAATAGCTAGGAACTTGGTTCTTACTTCTTAGATTTAGTAGAGTAAAAAACCATGGCCCATGCTCGGAGCTCGACAGGATACTACCTATATCGTGACATTAACCATCCAAAAAGAAACAAACACCCATAACATCACCCGCCCAACACGAAGCCCATATCAATCAATATCCACGACAAGATTCATGCGAGACAAAGAATTCAGAAGTTCGAGATAGCCCGTGAGAAGCATCTGAAAGAAAGACCAAAACGTATTAAAAAATGAATGAAAAAAAAACGTACAACACCGGGGATTCGCTGGTCGTCACCGACCCAACTACTAATCCGGCGGTATCCGGCTTGTCTAGGGGAGAGCGGACGGGATCCCGAATTTTCCAGATCCTATGGTCGTACGTGAAAGACTGTATTGTACTTACGACTTATATGTTGTTGTTTGCTGTAGCATGTCTCTCCATGAATCCCAGCCCTACCACCCCTATCCAGCATACATACGTACGGACCAATAAAGCAGAACGGACTCTATATGAAATAAGACTTTGGTCTGATCTTACTAAACTTGATACAAACAGGACATATCCACCCAAAATACCAGAAACATCGAGATATGTCTCGGTTCACCCTCCATATACTCTAGCATACGTAAGATGGAAAGTTCTAATATTGGTAGTCTCGAAAGTTAAATATACGCAACACGTATTACCACCGCCAACGAGAGGACACCCTTTCGTGGTCTGGTATTTCCTATCAGCCCTCTCACTTACTCACAACATACCTACCAGTTAGGCTAGGTAAGTTTGTTATTCTCCTTAAGCAATGTATGTACACATATATATTACACCTATGCGTGCTCACCTCCTGGCTCACCAACTTATAGGAACGTGTAGCCTTATCCCTTGAAAATCACGAATTTTAACCATGTGACACTTTGCTTCCGTGGGCTCTCAGTTTATGTCTATTTAAATTATTTGCTCGTTACAAACTCACCCGGAACAAACTACTCCATCCAATCCACAAGCCGTACACCACCAATCACAAAGAACCCCCTAAAAGGGAAAAGAACTAACTATACGGTCAAATTCAAGTTTCTGTCTCTGTGGCTAGCTTGGGGGCGTTGCGGAGATATTATGTTTGCACGATCTGAAATCTTCTTGGCTTGTGGGGGCCAATCGCCGCTTTGTCCATCCATCTTTGGCCCGTCGTCAAACGTATCGTCGTGCAGCCTCCGGATATATCCTCCCTAGTTTCCTTTCCATGTTCCCGGGGTACTGTTCAATAGCCATCAATGACGGCTTCTACCTACCTATTTACTACTAATAATTGCACCGAACTCGCTGTTCATGCCCGTATACCCAAAATGCTCACCATAGCCCCTTTGCGCTATAAAATCTGACACCGTCTTCAACTATCCATCAATAATGCCGCCTCGTGTACCAGCTTGATAGTTGTGGGAAGCCAGCATTGCGTCCCTAGGCACACGACTACGGGGTTATAGTAGTGGCGAGTCTCACACATATTGAAGCCATCTCTAAACTAAACTATCCTTGGGTGAGCTCGAAATGAAAACCAGCGCTGGTTCTATCTAGCTCCGGTATCCGGCACTCCCGAGACCCCTTGAGGATTTTGTGCCGCTTGGGCTGCCAATTGCATGGCAGCCTGGGCATTGGCTTCAGCCTGGTGGACGACATTCTGAATGACGCCTTGCTCATCCGCTGACAGACTCGAAGTGAGACTGGAGTAGAGTTGCGGGTTTTCTTGTTGCATTTCTGTGAAAACGGGTTAGCGAGCGCATATGCGGAAGGGAATGCTTATTAGTAAGTAGGGACTCACTCATTAAGACGGTTCGGAAAAGTTGATAAGGCTCAACCTTGTTCAGGGGCGATTCAAGCGAGACGCTATCTTCCCCAAGTTCGTCATCTGACTCGTCAACGAGACCCCCATGTTGGTTTTCGATTTGGCTGAATTTGGCGGCTTCCTCGTTGAGGAATTCCAAATAAGCCGTGCTCTCATCGCGAGCATCTCCCTGGTCTCCTTCTGCCCCTTCCTCAACGGCCCAGCTGGTATCCTCATCGGCCCATTCGTCCTCATCCTCATACCCGTAATCATTCGAGTCGTACGTAAAGTCTTCCTTTAATGCTTCCTCGCGGTTCTTTAGGGCAGTGGGTAGCGTCTTAAAGAGACCGGTAATCCCTTGCAAGAGCCTTGGCCAGCCGATGCTGACACTTGCAGGGATCTGGTCTGCGTTCAAACTTAGCAAGGTAACGATAGCTACGATGCACAGCTTTTTGTCGTGCACTCGGCTAAAGTGATCCATGTTGCTAAACCAAAGGCTGAAGAACTTGTTGGTCCACCCCTTGTTCTCTAGGACAGCTAAAGTCAAGAGCGGGTTATAGTAAATAGCATTTATAACCATTTCCATCAGGTGAATCTTGTACGACTTGACCCTGAGCTCTTGACCACTGAGTACCGTCATAGCCGTAGTGATAAATCCTGTGACAGATTGGTCAATATGACCACGCAGACTTAACATCATAGCTTCCGCAAGCTTGCACGCGCAGATGCGGTCGACATCTCCAACTTTCTGGTCTTGGAGGAACATATCCTGGACCATTCCGTATAGAGCCTGGACGTACTCGGGCTTCTGGGCTAATTGGCTGGCACCGTATTGCACAAAATTGTCCAGAGCTGGCAGCATGTCCTCGAAGTATAGCTCAGCGCCGGATTTGAATGTGCCGTGGATGAGCTCGAAGGCTTGCCACATAGTGGGCGAGATACTTTTCGCGGCAAATGTGCAACTGTCGATTATCTCGAAAACTTCATTATAAAGATCTAAGATAATGTTAGCTAGCTAAACGGCCAGAGGTAGAATTTCGAATATATTTACCGTATAACCTGTTCTCTAAGGTGACTTGGATGACGGGCATTAGAACAGCCTCGATGTGCAATAACACGTCAGGAGTACTTTCTAATGTCAAGATCAGAGTGCCAATGGTCTGCAGAACACCCAAAGCCGTTATGCTCTTGTCGTCCAGGTAATCACCGAAGTCATCATCGTCGCGACCATTAGTCTTGGCGAGAAGCTCGCTGATAATTCTGAGGTAGGTATCCCTTAGTTGTTCACTTAAAGCTACAGCGAACGGGGTTAGCTCGGCTGCGAACACCTCAACGAAGTCCTCCATCACGTTGGCCAGTGCATCGATGTCGCACTCATTAGCCAGCTTAAGCAGCTGCTGCATGATAGTAGGGATACTCTGCTGCATGCTTATACGGATAACATCGTGTCGGATTAAAGGTTGTAGTGCCAGCGCCGCCGTGACTCTTACAGGCAGGTCGCTATCAGCCATACAGTCAAGAATGTGCCGATAAACAAGGAGTAGGTTGTTCTGATCCTTAAAATTGAGCTGCTCGAATTTCTCGATGGTGTCACAGGCACGGGCTCGAAGATAACCTAGAGGGCTCTTGAAATCAGGGAAGACGTAACGGACCAGGAAATATTCGATCTGGTCGGCAACCGGGCTCTTCTTGCCTAGGAGGACCGGCGCCAGAGTAGCAATCATTCTCAAAGCACCCTCCTTTGCGATATGATTCTTCTTATCCTCGGGCGCCTGCTCATACTCGTTAACAACGCTGTTGACAAACTGTAAGATTTCGAAGGTCTGCTTTCTGCGAGTCTTGGTCAAGGTGACAAGAAAATTAGTTGCCGCCACATCGGGGGCTGAAACCTCCTCATAGAAGTTTAGCTTCCGATGAAGGTATTCTTCGGGTTCGTCTTCGAATTTTTCCACATCCTCTCGGCTTAGACACATCACTGGGAAGATCAGATGAGTAACCAGGTTGGTGAGATGGGGCTGCATCAAGCTCCACATAAACTTCGGCCGACAGCATTCGTCCAGAAAAATAAGCGTGTACGATAAGCACGGTTTGCTAAGCCAGGAGGTCTTGGAAACCCATTTCTCGATCTCTTGGAGGTAGTGCTTGAGGATTTCGGGTGCAATAGTACTCTCGAACTCCTTAGAGTACCTAGCCATCTCGTCGTTCTTCGAAGCGGTGCCCGTGTAGTTGCCATGCCTAATACTCGTTCGTCAGTAATCCTAAACAGCTACCGCCGATTCCATAGACAATGCCAACCTGATCCAGAGCCTATTGAGGTTGAAGTAGGCCCACTTCTTAGCTTTCCACCAGTGATTTGTTTCGCGTTCGTCCAAGTCTTCGCTCATAGCCGACGGGGGCATCTTCTTGGACACGGTTTGGAGGAAAATAGTACACCAGCCGATGTTTACGTCGTGTTGTCTCAAGAACGGAGAGAGCTCGAGCTAAGTTTCGGGTTAGAGACGCTTTCGAACGAGTCGAATCGAGACCGTTTAGACCACTTACCCAGATTGTGTGCTTATAGGCCTTGAGGGCGATATGTAACATCTCGCCGGCCTCGTCGCTTTCTTGGTTGACCAATTCATTGCAAACCTGCTGAAGTCTCGGGAAGGTAGCTTCGACGATCTTCTCAAAATCCCCCCTAACATCATCTTGGGGTTTGAATCTGTAGGCGCGGCAAGTGACAAGGAGACACTGCAGGCCGGCAAGAACAGAAGGGGGGTCATTTGCATGCAGCAATTGCAAGGTAGCGTCCATAAAGCTTGGCCATTTCCTAGGAAAATCGAAGTGTAAGATGCGCTGGATTTGCTGTAACAGCTGCTGGCGGACAGGCCCGCGAGAAGCGGTAAGGATAGGGAGTACGCGCTCGCGAAAGCGTTGTTTTTCTTCTTCCGATATTAGCGGATCGTCGGGATAATGGTCACTTCTGGACCAGCCTCGATTCGTCCTGTTCTTGAGATAAATGACACCTATGGGATCAACAGTGTCAGCAGGATGGACTCGGGATCGTAGACATGGACGAGGATATTCATACATGAAAGTCGGACAGAATCATCGGCTTCGGTAGTCAGGACATCGAGCAAAACATCGATAAAGCCAGGATGTCCTTCGGCCTATGATTACCAGGCGGTATTATATTAGCAATTGTAACTCGAAAACGAACGCGGTGAACATCTTCAGTAGAGGAAGTGGAGTGGAAGTTGGCGCATCGCATCGCATTGCGTAGCATGACACAACACTCACGGGCCGTAGCGGCAGGACACGGCGTGAACCAGCATGACATGGCATGACATGGCATTGTCAAAAGCAAACAATAGTCCTCGATAAAATAAACATACCTGCTTGAGTTCGAGCTCGGCAGCTCTTCGCACGTTGATATCGGCGGAGAGGGTGGCAGCGATGCGAGCCCGAACGGCTGCGGCATCCATGATTGATTCCTAATATATTGCGTTATGCAGATCTGTTGTTATTGGTGTTTATTTGATGTTGAGAGGGTGATGAGAATGACGTTGATCTTTTTTTTTCTCTCTTGCTCAGCAAGGACTCGGGTTATGCCCTTTAGACCGGGTCGAGTCGACGATGGAAAGGAAATAGAAGGGAATATTGAGGAATAAGGAAGGAGGAAGGGTGGAAAATAACAGGCAGTCAACCGCCGAAAATACAAGTTTGTGATGATGATGGCTCAGCTGCGTAGCTGCACCCAATTGTGGTGTTTTAAAAAATTATGTGAGGTTAGACTGACTCTCTGGGTTACTCGTTATTTTTGCGCCGTCCGAAAATGGCGGGGCACTTTTGAGGTCGTGGACGTGCAAAGGGCCCATGTAGGTAATGTCATGTATTCTATTGTATTCTTTCTAGCGATAGTGCTGAGTAGTACAATATATCAGCACCGTAATACTTGCTTAGGTACCTGGGTACAATACAATACGCTAGGAAGGTAACATACCTAGGTACCTGAGTACAGGTTCAGTATAGGTAATCCTGCCCTGTGCCCTGTCTGCGTAGCCTACTGCCTTAGGTACCTAGCTGTACAAAACATACTTTGTACTAGCGCAGGCGTGTCACAGACATACAGATATACCTTAGGTACATAAATGTATTTGGGCTGGCTGGTAACAGCTAACCGGCTGCTAGGGCTGCTAGGGTCTACTGAACGCGCACCTCTGTCAAACTTTGATATTTTAGGTACACTAGGCAGGTACCTATATGCGTTACATGACTCGATACACCAATCTACCCGCTTTCTTTCTAAAATCCAAATCTCGCTCCTGCTTCAACGTTTAATGTTGCTTAGAGATTTGGCGGGCACCTGAGGGTTAGGTACCTAGGTACTAACCTACCTCTGTGCTTAGGCATGTACAATACGTATAGGTCGCATTCAATGTCAACTGAAAACGTGTTTAGAATGCTTCCCTCTTGATAGGGCAACCCGACTGATGGCCAAGTCTATCTTATAATTTCTTTGGCACATAGCTAAGCGGCTCAGTCTACCAATTTTATGTAACGTATTTTTAGGTGACATATAGTCTTACGTGCTTCTCAAAAATTTTATACGAGTGCCGCTTCAAAAGGCTTTATTGGTTTATATGCAACTACCCAGGCATACATGGCTATATAAGGGATAATACAACCCCCCACAATACATGACTAACCTAGGTAGTTGGAAGGAATTGGAATGTGCAGCAGATGAGACAAGAATTGAAAGAGAAGACGATCGGTGATTATTTAAATCGAACGTGGAGGATGCATGGCAAGTGAATGAAACCAACAAACAAACAATTGCAAGACTGAAAACAATCAGTTAACTATAGAAGTAGCCTTTAAAGTGTAACCTCTGCGATATTATGTACTGTTAAAAAGCAAGGGTCCAACGGGAATTTGAAGCTAAAATTTCACTGAACATGGCAAGCCGAAGACACATGAATCAAAAATGGTCACCGCCTTGGTGGCTGTTTTTCAAATTTGCAACTGAATCCCACTCTAACCATTACGTAATCCCGTATCTTTTAAGCCTTGTACCTGGCGTAGGCTCCTAAGTACGGATTAGTAGTAGCCCAACCTTCCTTTAGAACATTAGCCGTTGCCACGCTTGCCGCTACAAGAATTAGGTCTTTATCGAATTGGGTATCGGGTACCTATTACTCCAGGGTTATGCCGCTCAGTTCTCCAGGCTTTATGTGCTAGGTGTTCCCTAGGCCTAGTGTAGTGTTCCCCCACCTTCGCCCTTCGCACAGATAATTTTTCAAGTTTTTATTGTCTTAGTCCCGTTCTGTTTTAACGACCACAACATTGTAAATAACCTCACCTCACCTACTCAACTATAATATAGGTATCTTAGCTGTATTACATATTACATATTAAATATTACGCATTACACAAGCTAATTACATTAGTCGTTCTAACTGATCAAAGAGCAATATTAGCTCGACGTTCTCATTGGTCTTAATAACTTCATTCCTAGGCTGCCCCTGAAAATCTCTACTATGTGACCAATATCATAGGTATCTTTCTCGTCATTTATCATTTGCCGGAATAAAAACCATGGTTCTCATTTGAACCTCTCCAATAGGGAGACGAGCCATCCAGCTTCCCCTATCCGATTATCTTAATAACCCACGTTTGCCTACCTATGTACTGCATGCCATGAACACGGCAATGACAAGAAAAAATATACTGTCCTCTTCTACGAGAAATGAGGTAATGTAGGTAGCTTTAATCAGGGACGTGGTGGTACCTACCACCGCATAACCTACATAGGTTCTATCGTAACCAATTTTCAACCGCACAACCATATTCAAGATATTTCATCCATGAGGGGGCTTGAGGACTGTCGTACTTCCCAACAGTACGACGACAGCCTTGGATAGGGTTTGCCGCATGCTATTCAAAACGTAAGCCCGCGGAGGCCAGCAGGAAATTCATCTTTACTATCTTGCAGAGTCTCCGGGCATCCGCAGGAGACATGCCCCTGAATCCAGGACAATGATCTTGTTATGCCGTCAACACCACGCATAACTGGCTTGGTAATTGGGTAATTGCTCCCCCATATTAGTAAATAAATATTGTTTTGATTACATCGCAGAACCTATCCACGTATGAATGGCTCAAACTACCCGAGTGCCTCCGGCTGCCGGACCGGCCTCAGCCTATCACGGCCTATCACATCTCACAAAGATGCAAAACCGCCAGCGAGACAGATTATCCACGTGCCTGCTTGCTTTTAAAATATTGACCCGTCTGCCCGTCCCTATCAATCTTCTGATAGGCGTAAACCAATGCATGCTGACAATCGCAGCTACGTCATGACGCCTTAGACAGTGAATACGACGAGAAAGTCCTTGGAAGCGGAAAAGAGACACCCGCGGAGCGTACCAGCCTCCAACGGGTAGACGATAGTGGCAAAAGAACCATTGGATATTACAGCAACTGCCTTTCTACTTAGTATAAGGCTGTATCTTCATGGGAAAATATCGATATGTAGTAGCCTTGCACCAATTCGGGCTCATATCATCGCAGGTCACCCGTTACACAAAGTCTATGCTTCAGACTTGCCAAAGGAACTCCATAATTTCCATCTTCCCTCGCTATTAACTAAGAAATATAGTTGCTCGTAGAGTATATCAGACCCTCCCGAAGGTTTACAACAGGCGGGATAGACATCTCAACTCATAAAGACATTAAGCTCAGTGGCAAACTACTGTCTGGTGGACAAAGGTCGAGGCTACTGCGAGATGCCATGTCCTTCTTATAAAGTTATAGTCGTCACCATAGTCATATATGATCTCCTCCACTCTTGACCGGATTCACTTCGGACATAGATCACCAGGAAATTTTAAAAGGAAAATAACTTGCCATGTGACGACCATGGCCAGCGGAGTTGTATTAGGTGGAGTTGTCTTACGGCCGACGTCGTACTTCTAAATAAAATTAGGGGAGATTCACCGCTTGTCGGAAGGATCGTGAGGTAACGGTACTCTCGGCAGGCAGAATCTTGGAACAGACTACTAACAGGTCGATTATACGCATTCTAGTGTAACAGTCGGTGAATAGACCTACATACATATTATAGGCGCAGGCAAGCTAGGCGCCGTCGAGCTACCGAAGATTCCGAGTCAAGCTGACTGCTTGCTGCCTAACGCTCAGCTGGGAAGCATTCATGTACCAGCAGAGCCTCCTATTTGGACCCCAACAAGTCGACGTCCGGTTACACAATAAAGTACACCGAACCACTGCTAAAACATTTTCCTTCCATCAAGGTTCTTGTTTATATTAGCTATAGGCTTGATAGAGAGTTGGTATGAGGTAAGCATGGAGTGCCCCTAGAACACCGGTAATAAATAGCCGTATATCATGAGAATGTGGAAGAGCTTCTAAGTGCGAACTCCCTACGTAATAAACGATCCCGTAACGAACTGAATGAGAACACTACTCCAATAATGTAGGCAGGCATCTAAGATGACCAGAGCGTTGTCCTGGGACTCACACAATAATAACACCAAGTTCAAAGGCTTCCAAGACACCCAACCTGATTTTTAATTGGCAATATATACTATATAGGTGATCGTTGTTAAATACCTACGCAGTTAACCCCTTAGTGTAGCTCGAAAGCCGAATACAACTCGCCGGTTCGCTAAAACCAAACACTCGGATGGCAATAGCCTCATAAGTAAAGCATACTTCAAGTATTTGCACCAAGATAGCTCTCTCAAATATAGCGTGGACCCCAACATCTCTTATCATACCCGACAGAAAGCACCGACGACAAAGCTAGTAGGGCGTACCGTCAACTCTTAAACGCTCTCCTCTTTATGAAACAGCACTAGATGACCAGATGAAGAGATATTAAACTGACTGACGGGGAATTACACACGCAACCGCCGTAGAAACGTAGGTAGCCAAGCTAATGGACGGCAACGTGGCATGTGTAAACGAAAGACTGAACAGAACAGCACTTTATATTATTAAACCGCCAATCTGTTCAAACTGATGTGACTTCGTCGCTCTCTTGCCTCAAACTCCACCAACAATCCATGCTTGATATCCAAACCCGACATTACTCAATCGCCCACCCTAGAACCTCCTAGCTTCCACCGACTGAGAACAGGAGGGACGTCCACATATAATGAACCCCCCCCTTTTTAACAGTGACCTCTTCCAGTCTACACACATACACCCGAACCAACCAGTCCCTATCCCATCGAACCTAAACCGCAACACGATTAACCTCCACCACAACCTCCACCACACCCCCAATACCGCATGTACATCCCCCTCCCCCCACACGCATCCACCATCCTACTTGAGCAAGCAAGCATCAATCCATTCCATCCGGAGAGAAAGTCAAGTCCAGGAATCCAGAGATAGTCCACAACAGAGATAGTAGGAGACACACAACGAACGAACATCACAGAGCGGAGACGGAAAACAGAAAACCCCCCGAAAACACGCCCGGAACCTTATGCAACGGCAAAGACTGCTACTGGCTGGCTGGCTGGCTGGCTGGCTGGCGGATAAGTTGAAAGAAGTCGACAATCCCAACGGTTGTTCCCGGTTTTTTTCTGGCAATCCGGTAGTCCTTATCCACGGAACGGGTATTGGGCCTGAGCCACAGATCTCTCTCCCAGGATTATGAACGAACAGCAAGACCCGGTAAATCTTCCCGCAATTGCACTCAAGACAAATCCCGCAAGAAAAGCCAGGGACCTAGGTAAGGTTTATTTGGTTGCTTCGTTGAATTAGCTCCGCCTCCGGTCTCCAGTCCGGCATGTGGGATCCCCTCTCACGGCACTCCGCAGGATAGATAGATAGACAGATAGACAGATGGATAGTTTCCCCATGGTTTGCAAGAACTCCTTGAGATGCACGCCTATCTCCGGATAGACCATCTAACGATGTTCTCTTCCTTGAAGGCTTTGGCTTTGGCTTTGGCTCTCCCGAAAAGGCAAGTACTGGTCGGCCAGGCCTGTACTGTCATGACCAGGCTTTTGAGTTGTCTGCTTTGCTGGAGTTCCTGTCCGGGAAATGCTTTCTCCCTTTATTTTCTCCCCGGTAATCCTCAACGGATCGTGGGACTGGGACCATGGCCTGCGCGGATCAGCGGGATCGAGCAGTCTCATACTTACCCAATGCATTGCCAGTGGCAGATATCAGAACACATTCCTTCAATTGGTCATGGTTGATGAGATCATGTCACAGGCCACGAACAAGACTTGGGTAGGTAGTAGTCCTCACGTGGTGTAGCTTAGGGAATGAGATCTTACCTCTGCGTCAAGCCGCTTTCTTTCAGCGATGATTTTGTTTTGCTTTTGCACTGTAGCCTTGCTCAGGCTAGTGATCCATGGCAGGCTTGCCAATTGTCCATGTCCTGGTTTGAGTCCCAAGATATCCAGATGGTGCTGTGTCCAGTGGAAGTGCAGTCCATGTGGTCATTGTTGAAGCCATGGTCAATCAGTCCGGTGTTCCAGTCTGTATCCTCTCTGGTGTCCTCTGGGAATGATCCTTGGAGTTGATAAGCCCAAACGCTTTCCTAGTAAACCTATCAAGTTAGTAGTACATGCACGGCGAGGTATAAAGTCCATGAAGGTATGCCAGGCATGAAAGTATTGAAATCTTGGAAGATATCCTTCGCAGGAGTGGTTGGCACATATATATACAATCCGTCCAGTGCTCACCTTGCTGTCCGGATCTCAACCCTATCTATTAGTAAAGTAAAAAAGAAAAAAGCATTCCCGCATCTCACCATAATGCAACAACATGAGCGAAAACTCTGGCCATTTGGGAATTCGCAAACCCGGGAAAAGTATGAAATATAAAGTAAGCCTCCTTCGGCTGGATCCGGACAGCAAGTTGGCAGGAGCCGATCCGTAGATAGTAGAAATACTAACCGAGATATAAAAGAGAACTTCTTTTCCCGCCGGCCTAGAGCCTGGTATAAAATGTGTGGCAAGAAGCCAACTCCGTACAAAGGCATAACAGAAACAATGGTCGTCGTCATTTCAAGTCAATTGAGGCCCACCCATATGCAAATCGTTAACAACGAAGTTCCCCGTTCATAAGTACGCCGTATCCATTCTGGGCCCCTAGGAAGTATTCATGTAGCGGGATTGTAATCGTAGTAAAAAGCCGCCCCTTAAACGTAGTAACGTAGATAATAGTAGTAGTAGTAGTAGTAGATGCTGATTGGAATCCAGGTCTCTCTCAAGGGGGGAGTTGAGGGTCCGGGTAGCAACACATTATTTCATAAGTCGCAAACTTTGCAACTATGCAAGACTCTTTCTTCAAGGTCTGCAAAATTCATAACCCGGTCTATCCTGTTTTGCATGGCAAAAATCCGGGAAAAGACCACGATGCGGTTTTGTTGGACTCCAAATCCTGGGAATCTCGGGAATCTCGGGTAATGAAACAATTAATCATGGAAGCATCACTGGCAAGACGGAAAGTCACGCCGAACACACTCCAGCGGGTTTTTAATTTCGACCTGGGCGGTGAGACCGGTGGGCGTGCCTGGAATCGGAATGGCGGTCAACACTATCCCTTTCACGATGTCGCGACGACGATCCACCATTACCAGCAAGTTGTGTACTGGATGCTGTGGCTGAGTTGCGAGAGGGAGCAGGGGTTGACTCATACTGTGGATCTTGTTGTGCTGAATTGTAGGACGTGCCTGCTGGAGACGCTAAACAATCAGAAACTGGAATAGGGAGGGTTAAAATCAGAAACCACTAGTGTACGCACCGCGTCCGAGGAAAGGGTCTTGAGGCTGCGCGGCTGGGTAGGGCGGGTTTGAGGGCGAAGGGTTCGAAGGATAATAACCGCCGCTAGACGTGGGAGCCGGGTAACCTTGTGGCACGGGCGGTCCTGAGGTCGCGTAGGTGGTCCTGCTGGGTGGTATCGTGGTAATGGGAGTCCTCTGATCCCTGGGATCTACCCTTGAGCCGGCATATGGATCATTATACGGGTTTGGCGCCACTCGCGAGTCTGCTCCAACCAGCTGGAAAGGAGGTTCCTGGCCGGCCTGGCCAAATCCTCCTTGTGAGGGCATCGGAGGATAAGTCACACTTGCGGACGGGGGCTGGAATTGAGATCCCTGGGTAGTATATCCCTGTTGAGAGCTATATCCGCCCTGAGGATATTGCTGGGGCGCGTAGGAGCCAGCGGCTCCCGTGTAACCTGCGGAACCGGTTCCTGGATATCTGGGCGTGGCATCACCATACGGGTCGCGGTTCGGGGTTCCCGCTGCAAATCCGGCGGCTTCAGTTGGTCCGTAGTATTGGCGGGACTGATGCGTATCCGAATTGCGGTACTGGACTATAGGGGAGTTAGAGAGTCTGACATAAGAGCCGTTCGAATCTCTCGAGGCAATAGTACCTCCGGCGGCGTTATTACGGCTCGCCGATTGCTGCCGCCTTTCTTGATCCCATCGCGCGGAATCTGCCTTCAGGTCTTCGATCATAGCCTACGGGGGGGGAATATTGTTAACAAATTGGAACGTCGACGTCGCCTATGCGAGAAGGGCTTACCGTCGTCAAGTTGCGGTAGGCGTTTATATAGTAGCCCTGAATGATCTGACCGCTTTGAGGATTCTGCAACGCACGCAATGTCAGCGCGAAGTTTACAAAAAAGAAGCAGACCAAAGTGATCATTTACCTCATATGTACCGGGACGAACCAGGGCGTCGTTTCCAAGGTAGCGACAGATATCGGCCGTGATAACCTCACGGTCGATACCATCTCTTGGTACGAAGTACTCATTCTGGCGGTTTTGAGGGGGTAAGGCACTACCGCCCGAAGGTGCTGGTCTTCTAGACATCGTAGTCGGAGATGATGATGGGAGGAATTACCGGTCGACGAATATTAGGTAGAAGAGGTAAAAAGGGGAGGAACGAGTCGACGGTAGAAGACAGCAAACGTAGAAGGATAGTAAAAGAACAAGCGGTCGAGAAGAATGGTGAGGAGGAAGAGAAGTGGGTGGTGGGGAGGAGAAAAGGCGGCAGACACTTTCGCTGGTGGGTACAGAATATGGACCCGCGGCACAAAAAAAGTCCTACTGCGAAAGGAGGGGCCTATTAGGGGAAAGTGACAAGGCACAATGGCGACACCAACTTGGCCTGAACAGGGATGGTGGCGCGGACGTGCAGTCCAATCCTTAACGGGTGGCGATAGTGACCTACAGGCTACAGGGCTTTGCAGGGTCACAAACAGCTGAAGATTTGCGTCGTGTGGGAATAATATGGTACGCTTGGCTTTTGGCGATGGAACAATAACTGTAGCACTGGGAAGAAACCAGTTCGCAACTTGTTGGGATTGGGAACAGTAATAGTAACAGTAACTGTTAGAACGTCAGGGAATAGGAGAGAGAGAGATAAGCTAGTTATTAGGAGGGTAGTGAATTGGTTGTCAGCTGAGAGGGACAAGATGTCTTTCTCCGGACAGGCAACAAGACCAATGAGCTGTCTGTTTTGCGCGGACACAGTGGAGCGGTGTCACTGTACAGAATGGGGCGCGTGGGAGGCAATGGTTGGCGGAGAACGATGCCTTATGTCTTTGGTATGCCTTATATGACTTATATGACTTATATGAGAGAAAGTAATAAGAGTAGGTATATGTAGATGATAATTAATAAAAATAAAATAAGTAATAATAAGTAATATAAAGGCGATATCGAATAGTATCACAGTAGGAGAGAGTGAGGTACGTAGTTAGGTATGTATGAGTGTATGAGTGTATGTATGAGTTTAACAAAGACTCATCCGGTCTGAACGACTTGGTGGAAGCGGAAGGGATAGAATCGATCCCCCGGCGGGTGAGTGAGTTGACGCGCAGCGACGGGTCCAACAAGCTGGGAATGATCTGTTCGTTACAGCAGAAGAGGAGGAGGAGGAGGATGAGGGGCTTTGAACATGGGAAAAGAACAGTGGCTAGGTATCCCCAATCCAAAATGTCAATCGAATTCTAGACTATCCAGGGTAGCCCCGGACAAGTGTGGCTGATAGACAGGATGAACAGGACTGATTGACAGGCCAACCTTCTAAGCTAGGATTTCCGGATGTGGGAGGGATGGATGGCCGGTGCCCGTATGTCTCGCATCTACATAGGAGAGGCAACAAACACCCGCACCGCTTCTTTTCGATGCAACTCTCGGCAGTGATCGGTCAATCCGTGCAAAATAATCGCAGACTTGTCCCGTCTAGGTAGCCAAGCTCGCCGCTGACCGACAAATATATCCTGGAAATATCCTGGAACGTAGGAGAAAGTTGATTTGGATTATTTTTCTCTTTTTGATTCAAGAAAAGAGCTAAACAAGGAAGACTTGGCTTTGGCTTGAGTGTCGTAAGTTTTCTGGCTACTTAATAAAGCCGTCGGTGGAGCAAAATTTGTTCGTCGGTGGCCTTTTCTGGGTTGGGCTGCTTTGGCTCATGTAAATCTTTATTTTGAGGACTTCCTCACTCTCTATTATCTCTCTCTCGTCGGCTCGTCGAGATCTAAGAATCCTCCCAAAAGAATACCAAAAACTTTCTTAGAAATCTTTCACGAGCACGGAACGCGGCCACTAGACTTCCTATTATACACGCACACGCTGACACGTCCCCTCCCCCTTGGTTTGGATAAAATCCCAACCCACACCAAGAGGATTGTTCCATATGTTTTGTGTTCCATCCCTTTGTGGCTCAGTTGACACCCTACCAACTGACCTCATTCACAAATAAAAAGAGGGTACTGTATTATGTGTATTATGTACAAAAAGGTTTCGGCTTTGGGGATTAAACACCGTCTCTCTCGACTGGAGCCGGCACCGTCGTTTGTGGCCGGGACGTAATCAAGAGTGGCTTCGACATCACTGGCCAAGATACATCCATTAGAACGGGGCCCCGCCACTTCGAAGTGGTCTCATCCCGCACAAAGCGATTAGGCACTTAACACCACGATGGTATGGGCAAGGGAACGTGGCACTGTGAACAAAAAAAGCAGGCTGGCTGGCAGAAAAAAAAAAAAAAAAAAAAGAAACTAAAGTTGGAATTGCCTGTTCTCGCCGTTGGGTATCAATGCACCCAATGCACCCGAGCCTAAAAAGGTAGCGGTTGCTGCGTCGTGGGTGCCTAATGGCTAATCAACCAATCAATGCCAAGCTTCGGTTTATTCCTTGTGACATGATGACTTGAATGGCAAATACCCTTAGGTATTTACGTATAGAGGTGAAAAAGGACAAGTAGGCTGGTAGGCTGTTTACTATCATGTCGCCTTGCGACATCATTCGCTTCAGATGCTTTAGATGCTTCAGATTGAACACAAATCTCTCTGCTATGTCTGCGTACCTGTCAAACTGCAGGACGGGTAGCGGCATAAATCCCTTTTCTTTTCTTCGTGCCAGGCCACTACTACCGCACTACCGTAGGTAGTCTATTTCGCCCTGTTGTACACCCTTTCTAGAGCCTCCTAAGATTATACGTACATTTGGGTATGTACTGAGAACTCTCTCTCCTTTATATAGCATGTGATTACTAGGAGACGGCCGGTGGTATGTGTGCCGTAGCGCTGGTGAGACCGATAGACCGTCACGCCGAATCCGGTTCATACGCTGTACTCGCCTCCCGAATTGTGTATTCATTTGAAAGTTGAGTCACTTTAAAATAGTTAAGTCATCAGCGCGAGTCCGAGGGCAGCCCACTCTGCCACTAGGCTTGTTCGCACCACCATGGCGCTATAGTGGGTCGTCCAGACCGACATTTCTGTTGGATCAAGATATTTCTCGGTTCCGTGCCGGGCGCCTGAGCATTGCCTGCTATCATCAACATGGAACTTGAACATAAGGCTTAAGCCATCAGTGTCCACAACGGAATTCCATATGCGGCGTCAGTTCATATCGCCTAACTTAAGAGATAGGGGAAGTGCATGAGAGTGTGGGACCCCCCCTACTCCGAGGCGGCGTACTCGATACTAAGGTAGATAAGTTGGTCCCCCGTTGGACACCGTAGACGAAGGGAGAAAAAGCATTTCATATGGACGAATGGGTGAGGCGGGAGTTGACCGGGGAGTACGTAGCGTTCGCTTCGAGTTGAGTAGCATGCTAGGTGTCTATTCACCCAAATTTCAATTTCCGCTGCCCGTGCTCGAGCTTACTGCTACTAGAGGCACTACCTCTCGTAAGCTTCTTAGACGACGAAGACGATGCAGCTGCAGTCTTCTGGCCTTGTGATACCGTGGAGTGGTGGCTAGCAAATGTGTGTCTGCCACGTTCTTCCTCCTGGATGTCTTTGGCGAGATGCCAATCGAGGTGGTTCTGTAGGGCCTCGGCACCCTCAAGCCTTGCATCGCATCGTGGGCACACCTTAATGTAATCCGTGATTGGATTGGGGGTGCTTCCTGATCGGTTCGGCGAAGCTTCTCTCATCCGAATCTGGGATTTACCAGTACCTACTACATCTTCATCAAGATTCCCATCAGCATCTCCACCCAACGAACTCTCCCTCTTGGGAAAGAAGCGCTGGATACCGGGATTATCAACCCGTCGTTTCTTCTCCGGTCGTTCATGCACGAATGGTTCTACCGACGCCTCCCGAGAGGCTCCCTTTGATTCGCGTGCTTCGTCTCCCTTTAACAAGAAGGCACTTATACCTCTATTACCTATAACCCCATCCTCAAATCCTCCCACACTCAGGCTCAGGTTCGTGCAGGGCCAGACTCTACCTTCTTGAATAATTTGGCTTAGCAGAGTCTTGGCAAGTTCGAATAAAGTCGTCTCGTCAAGCGTCTTGCCCTGGGGAATGCTACTCTGTCGGGAGCGGGTCTGCCCCCCCTGGCGGTGATGTAGGTTGATCGTCTTGGGCCGCCTCTTGTTTTCAAGAACGCCTTCCTCGACCAATCGCGAGAATATGTCGGCTGCAAAGATTCGTAACCACTTGACGGCTTGTTCCTGATTGTGTATGCTGGGCCGGAAGGATTTGGCGGAGAGCATGGACTTGATCTGCGTGCGCGAGTTAACCTCGCTCGTATCGATACCGCGGATCGTATTGTAAAGCCAGACCCCCGTGTCGTCACCCAGCTTGAGCTTCATCTGCTCCACAGGTACAAGGAGCAGGTCCTCAATGGTTTCCGTATGGAAAGTCGACACGACCTGGTCGCCAAGCTTGCCCCCCAAGTTTCTAATCTTAGTAAATTTCATATCAGATAGGAAATGCCGCACGGCTCGATTCCGTATGACTGTCTGTTGGTTGGGTTTCTTGTAGCCGGAGCCCAACTTACTGAGCATCTTATTGCCAGCTATGCCCGCGGAGCATGTATATCCCAGGGTTCGGCGAATCTGAGCGCGTATGTCTCGAACGATCTCCGACCCAATAAGGATAGCTACGTCGTCCCAGTCTGGATCGTCCGCCTCGGCTTCTGCATCTTGGAGGTCTACGAGGGCATCCGCTTGCCAGTCGAGAGCGGTTACGGGTGGAATAGGCAGCTTCTCCGTGGGATCGTCATATGGGGGAGGATTCGCAAGTTCCGGGAACCTCTGCAGCAGAATGGAGTGGATATGCGCGGATAGGTCGAGAAAGACTTCATCTACACTCGCTTTTTCGACCTTCTGCATGTTAGGCGGTAGACTCTCTTTGATTAGTGCGAGAATTTTACGAGACTGAAGCCTGTAAGGGTCGAGAGAGACCTTGTGAGTGCCGATATGAGACGCTGCGTCGTCATGATACGACCATTTCTCGTCTCCTTCCTTCCAGGTAGCAACATGCTGGGCAATGAGTTTTGGGCAGAGTTTCTTTGCATCTGTCACAGTGCAGTGGCGACCTATGCCAAACTCGCGTGCAGGATAGTTGACGGCAATCAGGCCTTGCCTATGGTTTTGTAAGTGAGAAGTGAGAAGTGACAGAGCTAGGATGGGGAAAGTAATAAATACCATTGTTGAACTGCTAAAGGCTGATCTTCGGCGATGCCGAGACGTACCATCTCACATTGAGCATAGAAAGCATCTAGATCGATGTGGGCGATGACGCGCAGAGGAGATGATGTTGAATAAGATGCCAAGAGACTTAGTTGCCTATACGTAAATTGGGACTTTCGCCGACTGGAGCCGTGGACCGGCGAAGATATCTGGAAACGGGGCGAAGACATGGTCGGCAGCTCAGCTGCTCAGACGGCAATGCAGACGAAATACCGGTACGGTTTAAGTCGGGAGAGCGAGTGGTGGGGTACAATAGCTCCGGGGATTCATGGGATTCATGGTCGGACAAGGGTCACACAGATAAACCCGGCCAAGACGAAATTCGGCCGGGCCCGGTAGTTGGTGAGAAAGAGAGATGTTCGGATCCCGGAGAGGATGGAGGTGATATGAATAAGGAAAGATTGACCCCAGGGAAAGACGCGTTCATAGGACCGCGTCGTAGAAGGAACTACATACATAAATGGCATAATAAAAGTGGAGATTCAACTATGTAATGTACGTCAGCAAATGAATGACTCTTCTATTCTTTCCTTCTTTTTTCACTCCTTTCTTATACTTCCCCTCCCCTCCCTTTCCCATATAAGCTCATAAGCCACTATCATCTTCCCGGTATTTCTTTTCTCCTCTTCAGAATAGAGAGAGCGAATGAAATGTCAAACAACTATTAGCATCACATATCACTTTTGATGCGATTGAACATTTTGATTGGTCTTCTTACGTAGGTAGGTAGTAAAAGAGATTAACTACCCATCATCAATCCACCTCCTTGACCTGTTACCAGTCAAGCTCTATATATACACACAAATCGCCCCCTTTTTAAACTCAAGATGACATGGCAACATGGGTAGTTAAACGAAATATTCCCAGTTCAAGCATGTCTTTCCGAGAATTCGGTCCCGGGATATCTAAGACGATGTAACTCCAACGCGAACACTGTCTCGTGTCATGTCATTCACACACACACATCAGAAACGTGTTCCCCCGCAATATACTACTACCCGTGCCCTTATACATAATAAGGCTTTGCATGCTCAAGTCGTATTTAACCTTACCCATCGTTATGTTGAAGAAGAAGATCCCGCATCATGCCAATAGACCAAACTGTCTTCTCAGCTTATGTAGGTTAGGTAGGTAGTCAAGACGACGGAATAATGCGGAATTTTTCCAACAACAAAAAAAGGACGGCACACTTTCTCTTATGGCAATCGTCTGACGCTGGTAAGTAGACGATGGGCTACTCTGACGTTCTAGAATTCCCTCCATGACTAAGCTCGAGCCCAGCCCTAACCACCAGCCTCCGGCGCAAAGTGGTTCGCGACCTTCCTCAAGCCATCGGCGCAATAAGCAAGGCAGCGAGCGGTTTAGATTTCTGCAACCCGACGAGAGTTGGGTTGCAATAATCTCAAGAGGCTTCGGCTTCGTCCGAACTATGGAGTGTTAGGCCGAGCTGAGTTGTTGCCGGCTCTTCGTCCACCGATACCCAAAAAGAGCAATTGGTCGTGAGTACACAAGATCGAACAAACATCCTTCTTGAAAGCGCCGTACGTAATAGAGTGCAACTAGATGGGGCCTCTGTTGCATGGTGGCTGCTGAGGAAGGATTGTTAAACCGGTTGGATAAGATGACTTGGTGGTGTACATTGAACAGTCGAGGCTTCAATGAATGTTGAAGGAGTTCTTGGTTCTACGACATTGGCCTCTTGACGCTTTCTCCGGTTGTATGTAGTAAGGAACTTTTGAACAGGGGTTAGTTACATTAAGGAGTTCAGATTTATTAGGTGAGTAAAATTTTTTATATGGTTACTCGAGGTAGGACTTTCATTATCACCTTAACTACCCAAAGGCTTTCTCGCACAAACCTACGTTGCGAGTGACAGGAGACGCCAGTATGCTCATGATCCTCCTATGATCATCGCCGTCCTACTAAATAGGTATAGGTGTATAATGGAAAACCTCTACGTCTGGTATAAATCTAGGATATCTCACAGCGAAAGCCTCAAGTACCTACATGAACTTTAGGTACCTAAGGTATGATATCCCCCATCTTTATCCCCATCTTTGTCCCCCATTTTTGTCTACCAGAATTCCCGTCGGGCGAGTGCCGAGAGGAACAGCATCATCGGCATTAGTCAGTCCTCCACGGTCACCTACCTACCTACCTACCCAGCAGCCCGTAAGATTAATATGTAGCACATATAATTTCCCATTCTTTTGCCGATTCGTTAGCACGCTATTACCTGCCGTCGGGTTGCTTACCGGAGAGGCCCCGAGTCGTGGCCGGTAAGGCTTAATAGCCACGAGCCGCCCCCTTGCAGTACGATTTCCGGTTTATAAGCTCTTTCGAGATAAAACCTCCTTCTTCAGTGCAACTCGATACTAATCCGGATATGTAATACGATCTTAATAGGTAGGGCTTAATTTGTGTCACGTACCTTTAAGTCCAAAATTTCGAAAACGGTTACGTCAGGGGTTGGGGGCGAGGGTAGAACCAATTCGACAGTCCAAAGGTGTAATACTGCTAAGAAATTCGACTCTAGAATTGATAAACATACCTATTGACCCATCCTCTTGGGTATCAACGAGTGTCTAGCACTTCGGTATTACCACACTTTATCCGTAAGCTATCTGAGGTGATAGAGCTGCAAAACGACGTGCCCTTATGAGGCTTAGAAATCAGATGCCTTGTTTGTGCCGATTCCAGTATCTGTTAGACCCAAAACAGCTTTAGTTCTGTTGTCCTCAGAATCCCATCGTGTGTTTTAGGGGGAAGTTAGCTAAAGGCCATCAGATCTCCCGGCCCAAGATCAGAGTGGCTTTGGTAGTACAGGGGGCGTACATACGTCTTTCGCACATGGCATTTCGCCCGGGGAAGCCTTTCTTGAAGATCTGCCAGGGGCTGCTGGAAAAAATTCTCCGTGAGAACGTCCGCGATCGGAAAGTCCCATTTGGATTAGGGCGCCATGCTTCCTGCTCACGAGATCTTTGACGCATGCGGCTCCGCTAACGTTGTCACGGTTTCACGCTTGGATGGCACATAGATCGATCTCTACGGCGGTGAGTACTGGGTGTATCTTAATCCCTCGTCCCCCTTGGACAACAAGGAATGTAGCGGTTGCCTTGTGCCGCCGGGTCGTCCCAAGGGCCAAGACATGCATGGAGACTACGAGCTCATGCCGTGCTTGCCCTTTTTAATTCAGCACATGCTTAGACCATTTCGATGTAGTGATATCATGAACCAAGCTACCGGTACCCACTCACAGAGCGTGTCTTCCACATTGACTTGACCCTGATGGAACGACATGCACTTGAACGTGCCCCTCGGCCTCGCCTGTGTTTTCAGCCCATCTTTCTCGATTCCTTCGCTTTTAAACTTGCTCAGTGCTGAATAAATTAATTATCTTATTGGCTAGCAACCAGAATTGAAGCTCTGGGCCCCTTTCTTAGAAATCTCCATCATCTTGGCCGCGCCGGCTTCTACCTCCGTTCTTCGGCCTCTCCATATGATGGCCATAGTGGTGACATCTTCTCGCTCTAATAATCCTTGGAAGTAACTCCGCCTTCATTGCATTTTCGGCGCCTTTGCTCAGTATGTCAGGTGTTACAGTGATCCTATCATCGCCTCAGTCGTTACCGAGACGACCTATATCTCTGGATGATACTATATTCGAAGGAAATTGTATGCGTGCTCGTGAGGCTCTGCGGCTTTTCTCAAACAGAAAGTGCCATCTTCAAGTTTCGACTTACGAATACTCGGTATGATTTGGATTCGCGGCTCGTATGTATCGAAACTTGTGGTATCACAGCCATGGCTCTCTCCTATAAGAGCGTCAAGTTCCGAGTTTGATCAGTCGATATAGAGTGTATAATCAGAGCAAACTCAACTACTATCCTCTACAATTAGCATCAAGAAGCCATATTACTCTAGCGTTCTCAAATCGTATCTCCCTGCGAGCTTTAGCACTTGCTTCAATCGCAACGACACTACGCGCTTCCTTCACTACAATGTAAGAGAATCTATTAGCAATTATGGGACACTGTCTAAAAAAACCTCCGTAGGAGCGACGAGAACAGCCCCGACTCCTCTGACGGGTATACTTCCCCCCCTGATACCGGTCTCTACGACACGGACAACGAGATCGAGTGTAGCGAGTGTGGAAAGACAGATTACTTCCAGCACGACGGCAACCCTGATAACGCACTATGCAAACACTGCGGCCACACTTTCTGTTCAGAGTGCAAGGAGGCGTAAACAGCACATGTTATCGACTATGATCACTACAGCAAGATGGACGACGAGTAACCCCTGAAGAGCACGGGGCTACATTTGGAACTAGAATGGAGGCTGTCATTCGTTTATGAAACCATTGGATCCATGGGCTTCATATGTGTCGTTTTTACCTTGATACTGTATTCTGATTAGATTCTTTCTGGCATCGATAGCCAAATATCCTATTGGACTATGCGATAGAAACCGCGCTCGTTTATTAATATAGACAAGACCTCGAGGTACTTCATTTTCAATCACACGACAGGCGACCCAACCTGTCTTCAAGAAAATCGTGCTTGTGACTGATGATTAGTCGAACTTTACGTTTATCCCTTGTTTATCCCTCTATTTAAGCTCGCATGTCATTAGGTACGTTGGTTCTATTTTATTAGGTCAGGTACCTAATTAATTAGATAGAAAACAACTACATTTATAATGCCATTATTCGACATATTTTACATATTTAACTAGACGTTATGCAACGTCTTATACCCAGCGCATAAGTTTCGCATAGTCAAGTTGGGAGTTGGTGTGTAAATAGGGGGAGCTGAAAAAGGGGAAGTTATTTCATCCGACCACCACACAAGCCAGGCCATGATTAATAATTGAGCCTCGCCTATTCATAATTTATAAGCCAAAGTTACCATTAGATAGGTAGACATCTATTTCCCAATTTTAATTATGTATATATATATTTCGATTACAATATCATTAAACAAGCTCGCTAAATAAGCGTTCCATCAAAATACGTACTGGGTACGGTATGAGCTTGAACTCACCAGAAACCCCCCAACTCCAATGCCTAAAAAGGGGTATCTATTATGCACGTGTCTAAACCCTGCTACCTCTTGAAATCTCCCTCATCTCGAGCCCCGAACCGTCCTTCATCGCAAGGTCGGTGAGGTCGTACCTGGCCAAGACGTCTGTCAGGACGTGGCCCATAGGGTAGAAACTATCGTGGCCCTCGTGGTTGACGCAGGGTGACTTTCGAAGGGGTAAAATCCAGTCCAAGACGTTGGTGCCCATGACACTTTGCCAATTACGCCATATCCCTATATCCCATGGGTTTTCTCCCGGCTCCGTTTTTAGTATAGCAAAAGTGCGAGTTGCCAAGTCGTCGCGAGCCGACGGCCGGATCTGCACGGCCGAGCCACCGCTCTCATTCGTTCCGGGCCGGGCCGTTCCGTTAGACCAACCGTTCATAGGCTCACCCGGTCTCGGTAGAGGATACGTCACCACGGTGAACTTATCTGTCGATTCGGTACCGCGGGGCACGCGGACGGCTAATTGGTACACCTTGGATTGATATCCGAGCATATCAACATTCGTCATGTTGAGAAAGATGTAACGCATTGACGTTACAGTCATTAGAAAAGTAAAAAGACCAAAGAAAGCAGCCAGTACTATGGCAGGTATGAAGTGGGGATCCAGCGGAGATCCCTCACTAATTTCTTTTCGAAGACTTGAAGCTGTAGCCCCAAGGACAAGGCCACAGTAGCAAGCAGTATACGTCGTGAACTGCACAAAAAACTTGAAGGCTATGAATCATCAGTAAACACCGAGTATTTGGTAGGGTAGCAGGCATTGAAGCTCACAGTTCTCCCCTATCATGCCGCCAACCCACGGACAGTAGTGGTCCATGCGATAGACGCAACGGTCGATTTCGCTGCTATGATGAACCCGATCTGCTTTCCATGTAGAACATTCCGAGCACCACTTTGGGCGACCGTCGTTTTCGCATATAAAGACATCTTTTGTGTAAAACTCCTCTAAGCCTGGACTATCTGGGTTCAGATCGGGGCCGGCGTAGTAGGGTAGGCTTTCGAGGTCAGGTTCCTGACGCCTTCGTCTTCGTCGGTCTCTTGCAGCCTTCTTTCGTTCAATTACCCCCGGCCCCAATGGCACAACTCCCGGATCGAGAAGGACGGTAAGTATAGTCCTTAGATAAGTACCGACCATCAATAAGAGAAGTATGAAGTATAGAACTAGAATGGCAATGGCTGCGCCGACCTCGCCTCGTTTGCCGATAAGGTAGTTGGCTGGATATCGGCGACGTCAGTAAACAAGCCAATTGATTTTTGTAATACTGAATACTGTGTAGAATGTAGAATAAGGCTATAACCTACAACAGACCCTACCGACCACGGCATAAGTAGCATAGCTAACGGCGGCGACGAGGATAACGGGAATTGTACGGGTGATCCAGCGCGTCGCGGCTCGAGTGCTTTCGATAAGAGGCATTTCCTACCTCACATCCTGATGGCAATCCGTCTCGAATAGTAGCGATTAGCAGCGCTGGGTTCGAGAAAGAGGTGAAATACGGTCATCGGGTCCCCGACGAGACGACGCGAACGAGGGAGCTGTCGTCGTGACTCGTGAGTTGGTTGTTTTTGGGGGGTGAGTTGCATCAAGATTCAAGATTGCATCGGATCTAAACGGCTTCGTGCTAAGATTGATTCAATCTGATTGAAGCATGCATATTAAATGACCCCCACTGAGGGTCAGCGACAAGGATATGCCGCGGATCATAACTTGCGTGATGCCCATGTATGTACTAATACCTATTAATAGATCCGAGTTAAGATATGTACCTCACTATGTGCATAATATACCTAATGTAGTATGAATTGCACGTAAGTGGTCCGTGCATTACAAGGTACAGTAGGTTAGGGGTATTCATGATTTCTTAGGAATATATTCGACAGTGTATGCAAATACTCGAGTTCTAGGGTACTAATAAAACAAGAATCCTTCCCATGTGGACTGTCCGATGCATATCATATACATTTCGTGTACAATGATTTCTCATTTATAATCCCCTCTTATGGTCCAGCCAGCACATTACTGACCACCAACACGGCAGTTAATACCAACCCAGCCATGGACACCCGGATACCGCCCGCTGCGCTGTGTTTCGATTCGATATAGCTCATGTTCATAGCTTTGAGCAGGATATCCTGCGTCACTTGCCCGCTTTCGGCGATCTTGTGTAATTCGTCGGTGAATGTTGCCAATATGGTGGTACTTCGCCCTGCCGGACAGAACACAATTTCCCATCCACCTCCGCTGGGTATGATAAACGTGGAGGTCTGATCGTCAAACGCGTAGCTGTATGCATCAGGGCACATAGCCTTGGCATTGTACGAATACTGGCTGGGCTCGCAAACCCACGGGTCATCGTATTCGCCGGTGCAGCAGGCCTCGGGGTCATTATTAGCGGCGCAGGCACTCTTACACGGGTCGAAAATAGGCCTATGTAGAGTGTCATCTGGATATGGGTATACACCGTCTCCGGGCTTCTCTGGGAGGAAGGCCTGGAGGTCCCAAGGACACCAATTGCTTAAATCTGCGTTGGACTGTATATCTTCATACGGCATAGGATAGGTCGAGTTAGTATAAGTGAGTCCGGTATCGCTATAGGTAGTGAGGTACCCGGACGTTCCAATGCATGAAGGATTGACTAGATTTGGCGGGATGTATGATGTGTTGTCTGCTGGATGGTAGACTATTGCTATTGGCAGATTATAACCATCGACAAGTGAAATGTCATAAAAGGTCTGTCTGCCAGTTGCACCACCAGCAAGATTGAATTCGGCAAGAGTAACAGGTACGGCACCCTACGTTGTGATCAGTGGCTACACCGCGGTTACTCGTTCTGGCTCAACTTACCCCATACTCACAGTCTAATTTACCAAAACAATCACCAGTCTTGCATGTCGCCGTGTCCCCACCAGTGGTACAATTGGTACGACCCCAGACTCTACCCTGCCATGTTGGACCGACTTTCTGTTCTTTCGTCTCGCCGGGTTTGAGTTCGAAACCCTGAGAGTCTGGAGGGTCTCCATGTTGAGTTCCAATTCCCGGCCATATTGTATCGCCACAATTGTTGGTAATGATCAAGGGGATTGCATTATCATACTTGGTTAAAGGACGGCTCGTGCCTAAATATCGCCTGTTGGGTCCCAAATAGTCGAAAGCATATAACTCATGGTTACTTGGATACACAACTGCTCTTACTTGTGGGAGCTGTGATGTTAAAAGGAGGCCGGCAATAATCGACAATATAGTCCTTATAGAACTATGCCGGAGCCTGCATTGCCGTGACCATTTAGGCATTATACTCAATCGCTTCGCTTCTGTAGGGTTTATTATCTCTGGCTAGATAGCGGCGATTGTCTTATTATACAGACAAACTGGCGGGCGATGAAGAGTGTGTCCTGGGATTAGAGTATAGCAAAATAGGCGGTTCATTATCCGATGAAGTCCGCCAAAGAATCCGGGGCCTTCTTCGCCAACGACGGCAATCGCTGTTATGTTATAAATAGGAGTTTCAACAGAAACCCTAGAGTCGAGTCTGGTAAATGAACAGGATAGTCCTTAATCGGATTAGGGAACCAGCTTTAAGTGGCTATGACTCTGCTCTGATTTTTAGTTATACAGGAGCTCAGATGTTGTAGTTGGTGGCTTCGTGTGCCAAACAGGGAATGAGAGATGAATCAGAACAGGGTAGTAAGTAGATCGTCGTGGTTGATCGAGCAGGCTCCGCGAATATTCCTGGCCTGATATCGACTCTCAATAGGTAGCCAAAACGCTGAAGTGTAAGCAGGGGCAGAATTCGCGGAGAGGGAGACTAGGTATATTGGAAGAGCAGAAGCACAGAGGAGTTGATAATAATAATTTATCCTAGAAGTTGCGCAAATAAGTAGGTAGAAAATGTAGAGACACCCTCAGGAGGCTTGTTGATATAGAATGAAGCCATGCCGAACAAGTTTGTTGCTTAGAATATTAAAGGTAAGAAAGTGGGAGAGAAGGTCCAATGGAATTGCCTTCAATGAAGTTGCCATCGAATGCCGCTTGGTGAGTTGATGTTGGAGGAATGGACGATGACGCAGTTGTGGCTGGCTACCAAGATTTTATGATGCCATTTTCAGGGGTATCCTCCCCTCGTCCTACCTTCCCCAAGATTTGATTACTTGTACATTAGGTAGTATATTGCAAGAGGCTAGTCCAACCTTATTAGGTATACCATCCATCAACAGCCAATCATGAGGTTATTTACATGGGACTACAAGTGCCCGGGTATATCAGTACGTAATATTTCACATCAGAACCAGTATTTTACCATCGCGGCCGCAATATTTGTGTTAGGTTCTTAAATTATCTGTATACGGGTAATCAGAGGCATGGAAAGATCTCTTGCTCGTGCAACCATGCATCTGCCCGTCTGCCAACTATTCAAATAGCCACCCATGTCGCTAGTTTAAATTTCTAGAAAAGGAATTTCCGTAAGTGATGATAGCTCGCAAAGAGAAGAGATCTTTCCTTCCTTTCCGTATCGCTAGATCACCTATTAGTCCAAGTACGTTGTTGCTCTCTTCTTAACGAGGTATCATGTGAAAGCTAGTAAAAGCAACGCGGTAAACAAAGACATTAGTAAAAAGGACGCCAACCACAAATTCCACGCCATCCATGCATCTCCGCCCTTCTACCTGAATCTAGATCTGCAGCGGCCCATAACCTCTCCTTGACAGACCAGTTCAGCACTGAATTCCGAGCCGTCCAGAGTGAGATAGATGTCGAAATAAACTCGGTAAAATGTACCCTGCGGCGTGTCCATACGCTCGAAATCTTTTTCGAGGTTCTTGCGTGACAGGTCGGATGTGAGAGTAACTACTTCCTTTATACCTATATAATACGTAAGCCACGAGTAAAACGGATCGCGATAGAAACTAGACAACTTACGAGGATCTTTGGTGTACTCAGGGCAGACATCCTCGTCGCAAGCGTATAGGATGTCTTCGTACATAAGCGTAGCACCCGGGGCCACTTGTCGGAAAAATGATACCTTAACTGGCTCGCCGATCTTGACTTTCTGGCCCTTTTGCACAAAAATCTGCCGGGTGAACTTGCATCTGTCTTTGCCGTCTAGAGATGGCACACGATATGCTTCGGGATGGTAGCCCTCCTTGAAGGGTTGCAGAGTTGCCATAAGATAATGGCGACGAGCTACACGGTGCGTGATAACTCGCTCGGTAATGCCTGCGGTGACGGCTCCCTTAACAATGGCGGCCACAGAGTCCATAGGTCGCACAACCTTGGACTGGAACTGGGGAGGGACATGTAGTTTGATCTGTTGGAAGAGGTATTCGGAAGCACCGAAACCGCCAACGACCAAAATGTTTTGTAGAGTCCTATTTTGAGCTTGGATGGCGATGATTTGGTTTCGTACGAGCTCCAAAATCCGGTTTACGACGGGCTCGAAACATTGAAGGATTTCCTCGTTAGTAAAAGTCATGTAACCTTCTTCAATACCGGCCTCTGGGAACTCAGCCTCAATACCAACATCAACAGCCCACTTTTGGCCGTTATTCCTGAAATCGGCCTTGATTCTGTTCTCAAAATCCATAATACATTTGGCGTACACACGACCGGCCGTCTTAGATCCGTCTGGTAACTTCATCTTTCGGATCTTAGTGCGTAGAATGTTACTGAAATTCCTGTTGAGGGCAGTGGAACCACAAGAGTCACCAGAACCCGCCGTGCATTCCGCGACTGTGAATGGATTCTCATCTTCGACTTCATATGCAATCAAATCAACAGTACCACCACCGCAATCGACAATCAATATAGCGTCGTGAACCTTCAAATTAAGCAAGCCAGTCTTGGCGCAGAAAAGCGACGCGGCCTCGGGCTCGCTAACAAGCGTCAATCTGTTGTCGTTCTCGTCCCTGAGGAAGCCGGCCTGGATAGCAGCAGCTCGCGTAGCAGCTTTGCCGGCATCGTTCCAAATAGCCGGCACAGTCAGGTAGTAGCGAATATTTCGTTCCTCTCGATTGAACACCTCACCTAATGTCTTCTGTAGCGCCGTGCGCATAGCTTGCCGCAGTTTAAACAGGTAGTCTGCGGCTACATCGATTTCCGACTTTCCGGGAGGTAGTGGCGGAAGGTTAATGGGGTCGATGTAGGTGTTACCTGACAGCATAAGCTGGAGTTTGAACCATTCGACCTTTTGGACACCGGGTTTCGGGTATCCTGTAGGTGCCAGGGCATCAGCAATATCTGGGCCCCATCCAACAACCTTTTGATATTGGTCGTAGTAAAGAACAGTAGGTATCTTATCGAAGTTAACAAGCTTTGATCAGTTGATTATGCCTTTGTTCGGATGCCTTACCTTTTGCTTCGTGTATGATCCAGCACCAGGCCATTCTGTGATGATATCCTCCTTCGCCTCGTTATTTGTCGCAAACGCAAAAGCAACGCCAGAGAATGTCGTACCCTGCGCCTCGCATGATTAGTTCAAAAGTATCGACACAAGCAGGAAATAGAGAATTTAAACAAATCAAAGGAGGGGACGTACGAAGTCAATTCCGACGATCAACTGTGCCTTACTTCTGCTGTTCCCTTCGACTTCAGCAGCCGGCCTACCATAGGACTGCATAGCGTTGGTCGGTTGAGGAGCGGGAGCAGGTGGCGGGTAACCAGCGTAGCCAGGAGGACCACCAGCAACTCCTGGGGGAGGTTGCGAGCCCGGGGGGACGTGCATCTGAGGAGGGTAGCCGGAGACAGGAGCACCGGTATTGATGGGAGGGGGGCCGCCAACCATTTGCGACGGCGGTGTGCGAGCTGGTCCGTTTGTTAAAGGGCTTGTGCGGCCAACAGGAGGTTGAGGACCAGGTTGGAAATTTGTAGTATTATAGCTGGGTGGACGTGGTCCAGCGCCGGGATGGTTCATTATCGGGAGGCTCGTCTGGGAGGACGAAGCTGTTATAGAGGGGGCGGCGGGACCAGGATAAGGATGGGGTTGGGCTTGGGCCTGGGCTTGTGGGAACTGCTGCGTTATTTGCGGTGGAGGGGTTGAGGTCGGGGTCGAGGTCGCAGGCCGTTGTGGTTCAGGCGTACTTGAGGGGATACTGGCGGTGGATTTCCGTTTACCTAATCCTAGGCCTCTTAAACGGGAATTCAGGTTGTTCAGTGAATTCATAAGGAATTAGGGAAACGGAAAAGAAGAAGAAGAGAGAAAAAAGGGAAAAAAAGAGGGTAGATCAAAGAAGGGTGGGAAGGACTTTGTCGAAGGTGTGATCCGATTGATGTGGGATCACTGTGCTTCTAAGCTAGGTTGTGATAAGGCGGGCTGAGCTGAGCCAAGACGAAGATGCTGACAGAGTTCCCTAAGAAGAAACCGAGCAAGAGACCCAGAGAGGCGTCGGGTCGTTTCCATACGAAGTGAGTTGCGGCGTCAGAAGAGGGGCTGTTACAGCTGCTGCTGCTACTGCTACTAGTGACTGCTGCTTCTGCTGTTGTTTCTGCTGCTGTTGCTTGCTGCTTCCAAAGTTGGTGCTTGCTGCTGGCTGCTTGCTGCTGGCTGCTACTGCCGGGTTACTTTGGTATGCTCCTGCTTCGCTTCGCTTTTACTTTGCTTGCCCGAGCGTAGGTAATAGGAATAATCCCTTGTTCCCCGTTCTGTCCCTTTAGGTTTAACCTAGACTAAGCTAAAGTAGTAACCGAGTAGGCGTGCCGCAGGACGTTTGGGAATGGGGAGGGAAAAAAAATGTGCCAAGGCTAAGGTAACACTACCTAAAGGTACGAGTTACAAGTACAATCCTGTCAGGAGCAAAGTCCTTGGTGCCCTTGGTGCATTCGGTTGCTTTTGGTGCTTGTGTGTAATCCGTATGCGCAATTCCTTAAACCTAGGACTTGGATTAATAAAGAGAGGCGGGCGGGCAGGGCGGGATAGGCCTGAATGGGGCCAGTAGCAGTAGGTAAGAAAATAGTAGAAAATAGTAGTTAGTGGGACACTACTATCGCGGAGGATCAATCAGATCAATTAGATCAATTCAAGCTTCAGTGTTGCGACCCTGTTCCTTGTTCGTTCTTTTTTTTTTCCTCTTTTGATTCCACTGTGGCTGATGGAGCTGACCGCGTTAGGTTGGGCTGGTTATTATTGTATGGGTTGCAGGTTGCAGTTTAGCGGTTAGCGGTTAGCGGTTTAGGGTACTTTGGGGGAAGGAAATCCAGGATAATAAGGCTGAAGTAAGTTCTTAACAACAACCTGCAAAGGGAGTCGAAAAAAAAAAAGACCCCCCAAAAGTCCTAGATTCGAGGAGGGGAGCCTGTAGGCGGCTGTGAGCAGGTGGGTAGGAGAAATGAGACGATGCAACGATACGACAATGACAGTGGTAGACAATGCGACCTGTGGGGCAAACCACATTCACTTACATACCTCACTTATACTATCAGCACTATGCACCGCTTGCACTGCTAGACTTAAGGATTGTGGCAATGTTACCCAAGTGTCGTAAATCTTCGTAAAATATTAAATCTCGATACTCCCAACTTTCTTTTCAACCGATGAGCAATTTCGTATTTTTGTCTTGTGGAGGACCTAGTTATAATACTTACAAACACAATACCTTGCGAGTAGAGTCGACGTGGCCGCACCAAATCCCGTAGTTCATTACTTGTAAATTCGTGCGAGGTATCACGCGAATAAGCGCTTCGCTACCTGTGGTTGGTCGGTAGTATATATTCGAAGAGGCATACCCGCGCGTTAAAGATTCGTAAAGGATAGGTACAATATTCGATATCGCCGCTGTGGCAACTTTCACGGCCACATGGATATTTTATATTTTATATTACGTATGGATCTGACGCATACGATAATGGCGAACTAGCTACCTGTACACGGAGGAAGAAACGGCTTGGCGATGCCTCACATTTGATTGTACAGCGCAGTTGGAATATGATGTATAATCTCCTGGGGAAGGGTAATCCAAATAAACGTTGCTTCGAACGACTGTTCAAGCCGTTCTCATTAGGTATATCAAAATTGAATTAGTTGATCCAAGTCGTTAGATGGCAAGCAACGTTGTAAGAGCTACCACCATAGTATACGCTCTAGATTCGATAAGCGAAGTTTGGATGTTGTTTGAGATTTAATGAGTAGGTTAGTTAGTATTTTCTTGCACGATCCTCCAAATGCCTTCTGTATGTAGTTCTTTCAAAGGATACCTAAATCAAAGGCTCCCCGCGTGCTTGCCGCGGCCTTCTCCGAGTCCTTTGTTTGCAACGGCCACGAGGGGCTTGAAAAAGAAGTTAAAAAGATTCGGCCCGTCCATCATTATGCAATTTGGTTGGCTCGAATCGCGACGTATGTAAATGTTTTCCTCCAAGACTGCGCCGCCAATTTAATATTTAGGGATCACATTAGTCTCGACAGTATTTTTTAAATAATAAAAATACTTTAGTTTATACGATAAATGCTTTAAATATAAGTATAATTAAGTCTCGTTATAACGAATTTATTTTATAACAAATTTATTTTATAACAAATCGATATTATATTTTATTAAATTTTATATAAGATTTAATAAATTTTTTTATATAATAAATTTATTAATTTTAAAAATAAATCACCATTTAATTTATTATAAAAATAATAAAATTATAAATAAATAAAATGGATTTTATAAATTTAACTATTAAATTTAATTTAATTAAAATAAAATAAAATTAACGGTAAATAAAAATTATAAAATTTTTAATATTTTAATTTTTAAAAAATTATAACGTTATTAAAAACATTAAATTTTAAACTTTAAATAATGTTAAAATATTATTAATAAATAATTTTTATTAATTAATTTATATATAAAGTTATTTAATATAATAATAAAGTTTATTAATTTTAATTAATATTTATTCGTCGAAGACATTTTTTACGTTAAAACTTTTAAAAATTATTATACGAAATTAATAAAGAAATGATAAAGAAATGATAAAAAAATGATAAAGAAATAATAAATAATTAATAAGTAATTCATTAATAAATGATAAGAAAATTAATAAAAAATTAAATGTTTTTAACGGATTTTCACGTACGAGTTTATAAACACGTAAAAACGCTTACGTAAACTTATAAATGCATGCGTTTTTTTAAATTTTATATTTTTATAAAATAATTAACTACGTAATTAATTTCTTTTTATATAATAATTAATATATTATTTTTAAAAATATCTTTATTTTTAAATATTATTTTTTATATATAAATTTTATTTTTTTAATATTAATTAATAATTAATTAAATAATTATAAATAATTAAAAATTTTATT